TGACATGATTTTCAGTGCAAAACAAATGCAAGAGAAATCCAAAGAACAAAATCGCCCTCTATACATGGCCTTCATAGATTCAGTGAAAGCATTTGATTCGGTCTACAGAGCAGCTCTTTGGAAGATATTGGCAAAGGTTGGGTGTCCGAAAAAGTACATCCAGATCAATGACATCTTAACACAGATAGACACATCTCATTCATAAACTGAGGTTTTTTGTGATGACAAGACCCCCATGGGCCAGGAGAGATGAGCTGCTCGAGGGGGGTCATGGTAGGGACACTTGACCAAAGTAATGAAGAAATTCGCAAGGGTGCAACTCGTTTATCTATCTGTCTGCCTCTTAACTCATATGATATAAGTTTTTTGAAGATAACAAAATAGATATGTTTGATGGACGCGTTGACATTCCAATCGATTGCAGGTGTGTTCCGCCTGTCTTACAGAACCAGCGTTGCCAGTAGTCGTTTTTAGTCTTAAACCTCCAACTTTTTGAAGCAATGTCATAACATAAATAAAATATCTATCCGTAACAATTTGGCAACCAAATTGGAGGCGATACACCGGTGTTGGATTGCTCTCCTAGATGTTGGCGACACAAAAATTTCTTTACTGTAATGTCTATCTGTGTTAATATATCATTGATCCAGATACTCCGCCTGCTATATGATAATATGAATGCAACCGTTTTAAGCAACCATGGACAAGGACAATCTTTTCAAATAACTGCAGGCGTTAAACAGAGATCACACCCACTCTATTTTCTCTATTTATAGGATCCATACTTCACTTTGTCGAGGGTCAACTGCCGTCAGGAGTTGAAATCGTGTACAAACTTGATGGCGGCTTATTCAACTCAACATAAACAGATTATGAGCTAAGACGAGTTTCGACGGCATCGATAATTGAACTTAATATGTGGATTATAACGTCGTGATGGCCAATTCAGAGGAAGAGCTTGTCAATTATCAATGAATTCAACCAGGCATACAGGAGAATCGGCTAGAGGTCAACTTTAACAAGACGCAGATTCTGCAGCAGCTCGCACCGGACACTAATCCCCTAGCTCCAAGTACAGTGCCGGTCCGAGCCTACTTTCAGGAAGCCGATTCTCGGGCCAGGGAGTAAAGCTCCTCGAGAGAACAAATTTTTCGTCTTTATCATTCTTGTTTACTTTTCGATTACGTTGACAAGGACCAAATATTCGTTCTATCGGGAAGCTCTACTCCCTGGCCCCAGAATTGCCCCCCTGGATGGAGCGAGATCCGACTTTGGCGCCCCTAATTCAAATGTGAATCCTCTGCGCATACATTTTGACCATAACTATCTAATACCTTTGGAAAAATTATGTCGCGAAAAATAGCCTTACCTATCTTATCAATTGAAATTCGAAAATATCCATGTTCGATGGTACCTACTCTTTTCCTTTTGAGAGTTGATTTAAAGTAGAATGACAAACAAATAATGGAAGTTTTCACGTTTATTTATTTATTTATTATTTTTAGATATTATTTTCGAAGACATCAGTTAGGTATCACCATTAGGTAGGAAGCTCTCTTGCTCACTAACATTTGGTTCACATTTTTTGACGAGATCGAAATCAATAATCAACTCTAGTAATATCACTTATCAACACTCAGGCAGGTCCGATTTATTCATCTTCAGATACACTTGTGGTTAACTATTTGCAATATAAATTTACCGACCTATAATCGGCGAATGCTCTATCTAGCGTAGCCAGGGACATACATACTAATCCTACTAAATAAGCAATTCACCTAGTTGGAGCTATTTTGCTAACTGGTATTAATTTTATTCCTTTTCTGAATTTCACGAAAACTCCATTTATATTTACTTCAAGTTCTACTTATTACAAAATAATATTTATAAGAACGCATATTTCAAGCGAAATTAGAAAAAAAGCTCTGGATTTCTGGAGATGGGGAGTATGATTCTCCAGGATATTCTGCAAAATATGTAACGGCGTATTCATTAATGGATGGTGAAAACCAAGCGAATATTAGATTTTTCGTTACTACAGCGTGGAATGGTGGAAGGTAATTTGGAAAAGGCTGCATGCGAAAATTCCCTTGCAGATATAACTAAAAATTTAAATCATCAGTCTGTTTTTATCAGATAGAAATAGGGGAGCAAGGGCGGATCCAGAATGGACGGGGCACGGGGTGCGCGCCCTCCCTGAGAGCCTGAAAAACTACTCGAAACGTAAAAAAAATCATATATGCATAGAAGAATTTTGCGATAAAAAAAAATTCCTAGATCCTCCTCTATAGGGGAGTATACCTCTTTTATTAAGGACACAGTATACTATTAATCACGAATTCGACGTTTGGCATCTATCGAAGAGTCTTTTGAAAAAATTGGGCAGAGTTGAAAAAAAAATCGAAACTGTTAAGCGAGTGGAGTAGAGCTATAAGCAAACAATTTATGGTGGTCGTCAGAAACCTGTGAAGGAAACGCACAAATTTTACGAGTGTAATTTCAATTTCCAATATTATGGTGCATCCAGACCGGTGCAACAAATTCAGATTTAAAATTTAAACCAATTGAACTTCGAGTGCCATACACACGTACGGAATGTAAATGAGTGCCATATGCACTTACGGATTTTAATATACCTGGTTATGCGTTATGCGCACGCAAAGTCACGCCTCCAGCGGCCAAATATCCTGTTTTATTTGTGTGATTGTCGGGCTTACTTCTATGGAGTTTGGCGTTGCGTCCTCTCTTTCGATTTCCTCAAAAATGTTTTGAACAACAAATTGGCAGTTATTGCTTCGCCGACATTATTTTAAACAGATCTCTTGTGTTTTTTTGGATGGTTAAAATCGCCATGCATGCTGCGACAACGTTGCTTATTTTGAATTATGAATATTTTGAACAGAGTCCTGGAAAATATGGAGCAAACCTGAACCTAATGTCCGAAAATGACGCTAGATGATCGGTGGAAGAATTTGTGTCTTTGACAAATTCGCCATGACCATCAACTTTCAGAATGTTGTTGATCTAATGCCAGTGGCGGACCTAGGACCTTTGGGGCCCGACGCATAAAAAAATTTTGGGGCCCTATCATGTTTTTTTTTAGTATTTTTCTTGTGGTGCTAGAGACAATAGCTGACGTCACACACATAACCTCATTTTTGATAGGGGGACAAACAAAGCGTTTGTTTGTCTCATGGCCGTTTTCATCAATTATTTTAGGGAAGCCTTAACGATAAGTATTCCTCAAACTGATATTTCTCCATGGAAAATTTAGGAAAACTGTCATTTTAAGGAATACTACTTAAGGCTTCTCTAAAATATGTAGTTGGCGAAAACGGCCGTCAAGTTTGTTTGAGAGAGGTAGGTTGTCTGATAACTTCATGACGTCATCCGGGATGCCTGAACATAATGCAAATCTCCATAGGGTACCCCAGATGCCTCATTAAGTTACCCATTACCAGGCAACCTATCAACTTTAGGAACCTTGGTTAATGATATGTCTGCCCCCCGAAAAGTGACGTTATGTGATTTGTAACGTAATAGCTATCGCCTAACCGATGTGTGTAATAGTCCTTAAACGCTTTGTTTGTCCCTCTTTCGGAGGTGTGGTTATGTGTGTGACGTCAGCTAGTGCCTAATTGAAAAACAACTTTATTAAAAGTCAGGCAAATATAAATTTGCCGAAGAAAAGAATGCGGACAAAAAATTGACAGGTGTGTCAACTCCTCTTCTTTGACAGTACATCCATAAAGCGATTGGCTGCAGATGATTCAAATCCATTTGACAAGGTTCACGATACAACCCACCAATCACCATGTGTGTCCGCCATTTTTCTGCTCTTCGCTCCTCAGACGTCGCCGGCAAAATTAAATTTGCTAGACTGTAAGAACATATGAGACAATATGAAAACAAGTTGAACGAAAAAAATTATTATTTGTAAAAATTCAGGAACTTTCCATCCAAACAAAAAGAAATATAACATGTAGTAGTCTCCACCCCCACTTACGAAAAGATCAAAAAAGTAAAACATGCATCCCGCGCGTCCGCGGTTGCCACATCGCGTCGAACACAGCAGGATTCCTTAGAGGTATACAACGTTGCCGTAACTTTCAAAATTTAATTTTCGATTTTTTTCATATTCATGAGTGTTTTTTTTATTAATTTTTTTTATCAATGCCTTTAGAATCTGGTTGTGTGGGGGCCCCTCAGCTCTGGGGGCCCGACGCAGAGTGCGTCCTTTGCTTCATGTTAGATCCGCTACTGTCTAATGCTTTCTAAAAATAGCCAATTTGGCACTTCTAGTTCACTGATTTTGTATAAAGGCTTCTTGTTTTGTTATATTATTCAATAAACATATTGATACTTTCCGCTTTCGCTCTGAAACTATGTATATTTTCTCGGCTCACCGAAACTTAGTTTGGTACACCGCATGTTTGTAATGTGTTAATAATACTTAGGTACCTAATTAATACATTCGAAATTCCGTAAAGAAATTAGAAAATCGATACGCCACTTAATTTGAGATACAGTATTTACTGCAATTTAAAATAGATACCTACCTATAGTTGAAGAATAATTGACGCTTAACTCGTTTTCAGCTGAACAAAATTTTCTGATGCAATAACTAGGTATGGCATTCCGTAAGTGCATATGGCACTAATTTACATTACGTACGCGCGTATGGAACTCGAAGTTTGAAATTGGTTTAAACTTTTAATCTGATCAATTGGATTGTGCTAGGTGCCATATACATGTACGGAATTAATAAATAATAACGGGTCCTACTTCTAAACAAGCCCGTCATCCAGTAGCGCAAAACGTTCGCGAACTGCTGAACTAGCGCGCTATACAATTGCATTCTTGTCATCAGAATTTGCGTACGGTCAACGAACCTCACTCTGCCTAGGGACCATATCAAAATCTGTTTCTCGAAAACCGCGGCCCTAATAATCTTTTATCTAGCTAGTGTGTATTCTGACCTTTATAACTTTTATTTACTTTCTAGGATGTTGAATCTTTTGCCAATCACCGTCAAGATCTTGGTGCAAAAGTGACAAGAATTTGTTATCAAAATAGCCTTCACGTCAAACATTTACCAGAAAACAGGAAGAGCTACGTGTCCAGCGTTTTTCAATTCATTAACAAATGTCTTAATGGTGTTAACTTAGCTAAATAGAGATAGGTAGGTATGTACCTACTTGTAGTTATTTTTAAACTTGATTAATTGGATATGGCCGAACAATGAACTACTTACCTATCTTTATTTTTATTTTGTTTGCTTTTGTGACACATTTTTAGCACAAGAAATAACGTACATTGAAATAAAACGGATAGATTCCTAATATTTTTCTTATGGCACAAGGTAATTAAGTTTTTATAGTTTTTGTAAATTGGAATTTAAGATGTTTACGTCATTATTGTTGTTTTTATGCATAATTATTATTAGAAAATATTTAATTAAAAGTATTTTTCATTCCACTTGTCTTTTTAATTCCACACTAATCACACTATAAAAAAATATCTTTATTAAGTATCTGTGTATGCTACATATCCTAAAATATTGAATCCCAAAAATATTATCATGCTGACAAAGATGAAACTTTAAAATTAACATATAAGAATACCTCAATAATAGTGAGAAGTGAAAATAAGTCAAATAAGTGAACAAAATAATTATACCTACTCTAACAAATTAAAATTAAAAATAAATAGAACTTATTCTAAAAGTACATTTATTAGGTTTAGTGTTATTATGATTTTTTAGAAAAATACTGTCTCAGTTCTTATTGTCAAACAGCCAAATTTTGGAATAATAAAGTTATTCAAGATTGAAACTAATCACAATAATAATAATTATTGATTTTACTCAAAATATAGGGTGTCTTGAGCAAACAATATACACCAAATAAATATATCAAGCATTATCAATTAATTTTTCGTTTTGTTTATTATTGGATTTGACAATATCATTCCTCGGTGGTATTTTCTTCTTAGTAGGTACTTGACTCCTATTTCTCTTGACAGACAATAAATAAATAGCACTGCTGTTGGTGAAATAATCAGTAATTTCCGATAGTTTTTTACCATGGGTTTCTGGTAAGAATATAAATGTGTAAACAGAGGCTAGAATGGAAATGACTGCAAAAAACCTAGAACCAAAACCCAAAAAATCATTATACAAAAACATTAAAACAATATTTTCTTACCATTGTATGCCAACAATTCCTCCGAATAAATCTTCTAAAGTATAATACAATTGAACCGATGCAAACATAATTAAATTAGCAACGCTGTAGGCTATAGAATGAGCAACACCACGAATTTCTATTGGGAACAATTCAGCTGTCATCGTCCAAGGAATTGGTAATAATCCTATCATAGAAGTGATTACGTATAAAAGAAGAAGTGTTGTTGGTACCCAGTTTTGTGTTGAAGTACCTGAAAAAAAGTATACATTATATGACCCCTATCGCAACGAAACGAGCAAGAAGCTATAAATATTATAGGTATTGTTTTATTAGGAGTAAAAGTGCTTTTCTCCGAATAAAACATTCGATTTTTTCCGCAAACGGTGTTCGAACGATGGTTTTGTGGTTGTCGAGGGTAAATTGCTGTGACGTCACTTTTTTGTACGCTCACGTCACGGCCGGACAAAGAAGTAACAAAAAAATGACGTCTGTGAAGTCAAAATTCAACACCAAGAATTGACGTGTCTCGCAAAAATAGAAAAAGAGAGCTTGATTGTAATAAATACAAGTTAGAAAGTGATAAAAAATGAAATGCGCGCGCAACTCGTGGCTGCAGTGTAGCCAGATTGTATTGTTGCAGAACAAATGTAGACAATACAAATCGAACATTATAACATTAAAGAAGTGATGTATTGTCAAGTGTTTTACAACGCCTTAAATCAGACAAAAGAACAGCTTCAAAGTGGCATCGATGGCACTTTTATTTTGATAAATGTTTCATCCGGTAACATCGCACAATGAAATTGCAAAGGAATGTGTCAGGTATAATCTAACATAACCTTAAACGACACTGCGATAAGTTCAAGTAATAAGTAAAGTATTAGTTTGCTCTTTGTCAAATTACACGTTACAAAGAAAGAAGGAACGATTAAATCTGAACTCGTCCCTGAATACGAATATGACGCAAGCCCGTAACAAACTCGATTTTCATTGGACGCTCACCTGCAACCCACGAGTTGCGCGCGCACACCAGGTATTACGAGACACGTCAATTGAGGTTAAAAAAAGTTGTAATTTTTTGATGTTTCCGAAAAAAATCTATTTTGATATTGATATTTTTTTGTGAGTTAGGTGACTGCATTTGCATTCTTTTTCAGTGATCCAATCAATTGGGCCGTCTATGTTATTAAAAAAATAATAAATAAAAATTAATAGCTCTAAAGTCGAAGATATAACGCTTTTGCTGGATCTTCTAAGAAAGTCTCTTCGACCTTCTGAATTGGCCACATTAAATTCGTCAGCTAGTTGATTAGAAACGTATGATTCTGTGAAAATTTCAGAAAAAAAGTCTGAAATTCTAATATCGGTAGAACTTTTACCTCATCAATCAAAGATACAAGTAGGTATAAATTTTGAACAATTCCTTAAGTGAAGAAAATGAAAAACTCAAAATATATCGAGACCTTTTCTGACAATGTGATTTGAGAAATTTTGAAAAAATCCAAGTCCGGTGTACAATAATTATTACGCTCGTAGTTTGTATGGCTTGATGGCAAGTATCACTTAATGTCATCTTATTTCTCCATTTTTGAGTTTTTAATAAAACTACATAATAAAACTGATGTGAAAGAGACATAGGGAATTTTCATAAGATATAAATATGGCTTATTTTGTTTTTATGGTGCACATTTTTGTGTAAAATATTGAATATGAGCAGTTTTGTATTAAATTTATGGATATTATAGTCGTATGGCAATTATTAGTTTTAAATTGAAAAGTTTCGCGCGGAAAAGTTACGTTTAACATGGCCGCTTCCAGTGACGTCAACTGTTCGTAATTTAAGGTTAAGGGTAGTTTACACTGATCGTAAATCCACGGTCCACACTTTCGTGGTTCACTCTTGAATCGTGGAACGATTGGTCCACGATCAGCTCACGTCACGCCACGACTAATATTGAACCACCATAAACAGGTCTATTGACGGAAGATTGTCAGACTGTGCTTTTGTAAATCCTGTATCAACCATGAAGAACTATTTGAAACACAAGATGTCACAATATGGCACTAAATACGGAAATACCTCAGAAATAACCGCTTTCAAGTTTCAATGCAGTCGCAGGTTCAAGCTGAGCGATTCTTTCCGACAGTTTGCAAAGTGTCAAAGGCTCTTGTGAGAACAGACCTTAACGTTGTGTTTACAGACAGTTGACGTCACAAATTCCACCATCTTGAAGCTAATTGTTTTCGCGCCAACGAAAATAATTTGAAATTCAAAATAATTTTATTATTTCAATGAGGACATAAAACAAACAAAAACATACACATTTTATATTTGAAAACATAAGCAATAAGAAAAAAAATACTTTGAAAAATATAATTGTTTCCTATTGTGTACAAACGAACAAGCAATTACTCAACAAAAGGTAGGTATCTCATCAGTAGGAGAGGCTAGGCACAGGAACGCGATCCTCTATCTGCTCATGCTCAGTTTTCGTTTTCAAGGCGGGTCCTCATGTGCGTAATTGTCGCGTAAAAGCGTGACCGCATATTTGCACGCGTTTCAGCGTACACGTCCTAAAGCAACAAGAGTTTACGAACAAACTACTGCTACACCAGAGTTTTTGTTTTTGTTCCGAAGTTGACTTATATTTTATATTTTAATTTAACAAGATAAAATGTTTATATATTGTTTATCATATTATGTTCTGTGGTTTATCATCACAAATCCGCCAAAAACATCAAAAAGTCACGCTTACGTCAAAATTACGCGAAAAAGTTGAACCGGTACCAACTTTTCGGCGTATCCTGCACGTAAATTTGACAGCGCAACAAAGATGGCGGCGCGTAGATCACGTGCTTGGCGAAAACCAATCAGATCAGTTGATAGTAGCGAGAATGTGAGAAAGATTAGTTTGTGAATTGGGTTTGTTGTTACCAATGACTGTTACCTTTCAATTTGCTACTCTTTTACAAAACTTTGCGTAAATTAATATTTTATTAAAACCCTAAAAGAATGGGAGTGTTCTGCTTTTTATGTGAAAAAATTTTCTCTAATCAAAGTAATTATAATAAACATAAGAAAAATGTGCACAAAATCAAAGACAAAGTTATCATAGACTACGAGTATAGTGTTTTTTTGTTTGTTTAAATGTCACCAGTGTAGAATATCTTCTATAGCAAACTCTGAACTGAGCCCACATAACAGTGAAAGAACATTCATATTCTCAGAATATTCCCTCAAAGTGCTTTTTGGAATGTTCTTTTAGGTATGTTTAATGAATATTCTAAGATTGTTTCGATTGAAATATTCATTTTTGAACGTTCTTTTTATGTACTAGGAATGTTTCTTCTATGCACCTACCTGAAAGATTGTGCTAAGAACCTACTTTATATAACAATCTTTGAATATTGTCATACCAACATTATTATAATGTACCCTAAAAAATGTTCTTTTGGCTAATATCTCTATCAACTATTAAGAATATACCTACCAAGTTGTGCTGAGAAGTTTATGTAGGTAGGTAACCATGATAAGAATATTTTCATATTGTTCACCTAATTATCTGAAGTACCTACTCAAAAATCATAATTTAACAATTAAACAATAATGCTCTATCTAGAACCTACTAAGAATATTATGGGTATATTCTTTTCCTTTTGCTTTGTAGGACTTCCAAGAGGGAGCCACGCGCAATTAAAGATCTACATCTTACCTCGCGTTTGAATCACCTTGGAACCTGTTTCTCTCAGTTGGCGTGCTTCGACGAGAGCATAACAAGCTCGAAACCGGATCTTTGGTTAAATACTTGTGTTTTCCAGAGAAGTTTTACAACAACTCTTTCACTGCCTTTAATATAAAAGGGCTGAAAGGAGCATTATTTGGATGATATATGTAGATATATTCTAAGAATATTTCAAGCATATTGGTATAATATTCTTTTGAGAACATAACTATAATGTCATAGAAACATTCTTTGAATGTAAGAATACCTATACATATCGAGCATATTTTTAGAATCAAACAAAAGAATATTCTTTTCAGGATGTACTGAGAATCTCATAGGTATATTCTAGGAATATCCTAATGGATTTCTCAGGAAGTTCTTGGGTATTGCAAACAGTATTTCTACAATCTTTTCTCAGAACATTCTCAGGACATTCGCAATGGTTTTGGCGAACATTCTAGGCACATTCTTCCTAAAAAAACAACATTCTTAATACATTCTAAGGATGCAATTTTGTTATGTGGGAGATTGCACCTTACTCGAAAACGCGATATGAAAATGGAGTTTGAAGAATTGGAATTTGATTCTTATAATGGTAAGTAATTTTAGTAAGTAGGTACTGCATAAAAAAGTATAGGACAGGTACTTCCTACCAAGTTCATTATACTTTTTTAGTCAAGAGCAATAATATAACCAATTACATCTGACTTTAGAATTCTACAGTTGGTTGCAAGACGAAGAACAGAATAACAATGTGCAATATGAAAAGCCAACTGGAACAAACAGAAAATTAGATAGTGATCATTCAAAAGTATACTTTAATTGTGGATCAGGTAAGGCATATTTTGAAGTCAGTGTGTTAAGCCAGGTTTCTTACTGCCATTGTTTTTTTCAGGAAAAGCTTCAATTCAGAACTCCAATAGAAAAAGGAAAGAGAAAATCCAAGGGAGTCGCAAGAGAGAAACTAACTTAAATAAAGTCACTGACTTAGAAAAGCGAAAATGGGTCTACAAGACACTGAAGTACTTACAGATGGAACTCAACGAAGAAAAGTTTGTGATTGAATTTAACTCATTTCTAAATATCCTTTCTGCTGATGAACTAACAAAAAAAATGGCTGGACAATATTTTACAGTGGGCGTACTATTATCGCAAAAAATGTGGAATATCTACAAACATGCACATCAAAAGCATGCTCAAAGTCATAACATATATTTACTTAGATGGAAAAAAAATCAAGCGACTAGATAAATCATTACATCTCTTACAGAGATTTATAAGGCATAAAACGGTAGATCGTGTAATCAAGCTCACAAAAGGAAAGTGCACCAAAAAAATCTCCACGATTATTTCAAGGCACAGATTGGCCTTAACACTGAAGTATGACATTCAGCCAAATGAAGAAAACCAATTTATTTTAACTATGCCAAATACTGATGATGTTCAGTACATTGTTACCAAAAATGCGAATTGTATGCTACAGTGTTGTCAGTTAAAATGTAGGGTAACATGGGGTTAACTGAAC